GCGCGCGCGCGCGTGCAGGGGGTGGTGCACAGTGCTGCCAGCAGGGGCAGCTGCAAACATCGCACATCCCGGTGCTGTCACTGCGGTGCGGTGCTGTCACTGGGGGGGGGACACACACATCTCCTATCCCCTTTCAGGTGGCAGCTAATTGGCCGGGACACTGTGGCAGCAGCACAAAGAGCCGCGGCGCCGGGATCTGCATCCACGGGGCTAATTGGCTCCTAATTGCTGCCAGGAGCTGGCGGCTTTGAGGGGACGTCTACCCCCCGCCCCCGGCTCAGACTGCTCCTCGTGCTGCACAAGGAGGCCTCACGCGCAAGGACGGATACTGGGCCACATGAGAAGGCCTCTTGCACGACACGCTGGGGGGCTCCAGTGCCCAGAAGCTCACTCCAGGCCACGTGCCCTGGCACAAGTGTGCGAGAGCTGGTGCCCTGCGAGCCTGTGTGACAGGCAAGGCTGGGACCATGTGTCTTGCCCCTGCCTGTGCTGCTGTGGGGGGGTGACCTGGTGCCCAGGAGCCTCCAGCGAGGACAGGGAGCCTGAACCTCTTGGTGGGAGCCCCCAGCACAGCCAGGCCCCACTCGGGCAGCGATGGGTGCAGGGAGCCCCTCGGCTTTCAGCTCCTGTGGGGGGTTTGGGGCTGGCTGACATGACAAGGGGCCTACAGGGCACCAGTGGCAGAGAGTGGACTAAAAGCCCCCAAGCACCCTGGGGCCCTGCTGGAGTCCCCCACCCCAGCTCCGAGCAGCCCTTCTCCTCCCCCCAGCACCCCAGTCAGGTGGGCAGGGGGTTCATAGGTGCATGGAGCTGGGGGGTCTCGGCTTCCCCCACCCCAGCCTGCACTGAGGGCTGAGCCCCGCAGGCGACAGCTAGGAGCTGCGGCAGGAGGGAGGGAGATGGTTTTGCTTCTCCGGGGAGAGGAGCGAGGAGCCGCCGGGGGTTTATTATTATTTATTCCCCGGCGCGGACGATTCCTGCCTGCTGACGGCTCCAGCGGGCGGCTGGAAATGGGCACGCACATCCCCGCCATGCGCCCACACACCCACGCTCTCACGTGTACACACGTGCATGCACATGCATGTACATAAGCACAGATGTGCATGCACATGCACTCGCATATACACACATGGCGCATGCTCACATATGCCTGGATGCATGCACACACACAGACATGCACGCATGTGCCCTCATGCGCACACATGCATACGCACACACATGCAGGCATGCACCCATATGCCCTCATGCATGTGCACGGTGGTGCGCACACGCAGACATGCATACATGCTCTCATGCATATGCACGCATATGCCCTCATGCACGCACATGCACATGCACTTGTGCACATACACACATAACGCAGACATTCACATGCTCTCGCACACACCCACACGATGCATGCACACAGGCACATGCAGCTTCAGGCCCACACCTGTGTGCCGCCTGCACAACCACACGCTCACACAACCACACACGCAATTGCTGGGAGAAATTCCCCCCCTCTTCCCCCCTTCGGGCCTCAGCCGGGCCCCCCTCCCCGCGTCTCCCTTCTCTCTGCCTTTGTTTCCTGACATATAAAGTCTGTCAAAATAAGTAATTAAGCGCCGGGGAAGCACCGGGCTCTTTGCTGCCTGTAATTGCCAGGGAAAAATACCGCGGCGCTGTCAGTGCTGCCCATCCGCGCCCGCGCCCGCACCTCCACAATGGACCTAATTGCCCAGGCAGGCCAAGGTCGCACGAAGGGCGCTGTGGGGGCCTGGCTGGACACCCCGGGGCCCAGGCACCACCCACGCCTGCTGGATGTGTCCTGGGGAGGGGGACGGGTGGTTGTGGGGGGAGCCGAGGTGACAGAAGCGGCTGGTGCTCAGGTGAGGCCTGGCAGGGGGCTTTGCTGGGGGCTGAGATGCGGCTGCTTCTGGGGTGGCCAGTGGTGCAGAATGGCTGTCCTCAGTCTCCAGCAGCCCCGGCTGTTTAAGCTGGGAGGGTGGCTTAGTTAGGGGGCTCCTGCTGTGGCTGGACACCTGGGTTCCCTTCACTGTCGTCCCCCCACCAAAAAAATCCTCCCTTGGGCTGGGGTGGAAGGGGATGGGTTATGTGGGAGGGGATGTCCTGGTCCTGAACCTGCTGGGGCTCAGGGGGTGCCAAGTTGGCTGCAGCCCCCCAGCTCTCCCAGCACCTTCCTATACCCCTGCTGTCAACCAGAGGGCACCACGGCCCTTTCCGACCCACCACAATCCCAGGGGGGGGGGGGGGGGGAGGGTAATTCCAGACCTGGGGGGTAATTCTAGGCCGGGGGGGCATTCCAGGCTGAGCCTGGAGGGGGCAGGAAGGGCCTTTGTCTCCTTCTCCACAGAGGCGAGTTTGTACACATGAGTGGGCACCTCTACTAGCATGCTCACACACATATGCTTCACATGCGTGGGGTGGGGCTGGGGTGCCGACCCCGTGTCCCCACGTGCCGGTGGGAGCAGCCAGCTGGGGACAGCTCCAATTAACCCAGCGGGGGGCAATCGATGCCACGTTGTTAGTGCGCCGCCCTCCATCGATTTCCCCAAGTGCAAATTATTAATGACGAATTTGCCCTGGTAATTGAATTAACAGGAGGGCACGGACTGACACCCCCGCCCCCCCCCCCTTGTGCACGTGGACACACAGTGCGCTCGACACACGTGAGCACCTGCGTGAGCTGGGGTGGGGACGTCCTGGTCATTTAGACAAGCAGGAGCCCAGATGTCTGGGGCTGGGAGAGGAGTTGGGGCCTGGTGGGTTAGAGCAGAGGGGGCTGCGGGCTCGGATGCCTGGGTTCCTTGTGCACTGCCTGTGGTTTGGGGGGGGGTGGCTGCCAGGAAGGGGCAACAAGGCAGAGCTGCACATGAGATGGGTGCATGTGTGTGTGTCCTGTGTGCACCTGCAGAGTGTGTGCATGATCACACATGTAGCTGCTGTGTCTGGGGCCTGTGCATGTGTGTGTTGGGCCTGTGCATGTTGCTGGAGGGGTGTGTGTGAGTGTGACAACTGCATGTCCATAGATGTATGTGTGTCTGGGGCCTGTGTGTGTATCTGGAGGTGTGTGGGTGTGTGCATTTGCCCATGTGTGTGCCTGGGGCTTGTGTGCGAGTGCACAACTGTACAGGCTGTGCCTCTGTGCGGCTCTAAGACACAGACGTGTTACTCCGGGCACGTGACTGTGCAGGGAGGGGGCATGAGCATGGCTGCCTGGGGTGCACACGTGTGTGTGTGTGTGCGTGCGCGTGGCCGCAGCAGGTCCCCCCCCCCCTCCCCCGGTCCGTGCCGCGGTGAAGGACGATGCTGTTACGTTGATTAAATTGTAGCAGCCACCGCAGCCCCCGATTATGGATAACGAGGCCTCAGGGCCGCCGCGGCTTCTCCGGCGGAGGGTGGTGGGCGGTGGGGGGGGCTGGGGTCATGGAGAGCAGCAGGGAAATGCAGCCCCCCCCAGCCCTGCCGGTGCCCCTCACTCCCGACCCACAGCCCACTGTCCTCTCCCCCGCACAGCACCACCAGTGCCCCTCACTCCCAACCCGCAGCCCCTGCCTTCCAGTCAGCCATGGGTGGAGCACGGGGGGCCCAGCCTGGCTTGGCTCAGCCCAGGGGGGCTGGCTGAGGTCTGGGCCGAGCTGGGGGGCTCCGGGTGACGGGGGCTGAGGCTGGGGGTGGGGGTGCATGAGGCGGGGCCGGCTCCCAGCCCCTGCCACGCGGCGCCCCAGTGATTAATGGGGGGAATTACGCTGATAATAGCCCTTTAAATGAAGGTGCCAGTTACAAACGATGCCGGCGCAACGCCGTGATGGATGGGGCGGGTGCGGCCTCGCCGCGTGCTCAGAAAGGCATTAGTCGGACGGGGGCAGGGCAGGGTCTTCCCAATCCCTGACCTCT